GTCTCAAGGTTCCCTCGATGAAATTTGCCCCCAGGTTTCTTGGTCCCTTCAAGGTGTTACGTAGGGTTAACCCCGTTTCCTACTCCCTTGATCTGCCTCCTTCCATGCGTGTCCCGAACACGTTTCACGTCTCGCTTTTGAAGCCCTTGCTGTGTAACCGGTTCTCTCGTCCCCTCGGGCGGCCCGTTTCCCCTCGAGCTGTCTCTGACGACGTGTACGAGGTGGCTGCCCTTCTCGACTCTCGTGTTTCTAGGGGTCGGCTGCAATATTTGGTGGACTGGAAGGGGTACGGCCCTGAGGAGCGGTCCTGGGTTTCGAGCTCCGATGTGCACGCTCCCTCTTTGGTCCGCTCCTTTCATGCCCGCTTTCCTTTGAAGCCTTCCGCTTCCCGCCCCCTGGGCGGTCTTCGAGGGAGGGGTAATGTCAGGTTCCCGCGGGCGGCTGCGAGGGGAGGCTGCACTCCACTTGCAGTACTCACCCTCCAGCCGTCCGCGGTCCCCTCCGCCTCGTGGGTACGGCGAGCGGCATCCTTCCAGCCTCGGATGCCGCCCGCCGTTCCCTCCACGTCCCCCAGCAGCAGCATGCATGACGCTGCACGCCGGGAGACCGCCCAGGTTTATACACGCCGGGGTCAGTCACCTGACCCGGCGTTAAAGGCACAGTGCCTCAATCACAGTGGGAGGTCTAGATATCTCCCACGTGTGATTGTTAATTCTGATTGGAAATTATCCAATCAGAATTAACCTGATGGTTTAAATACTTACCTTTCCTGTTCCTCCCTGCCCTGTTGTGGTCTTTGCTTGCTAGTATTGCTACTTACCTTGTGTTTCTGGTTACGTACTCTCTGGCTTGTTTATCTGACTCTGTGACTTTCTCCTACCCTTTGACCTCGGCTTGTTTCACGTTATTCTGTCTTCTGGTTCCCCTTACTCGGCTTGTTTTCTGACTATTCTGTGTGTGCTTAGCCCGGCCACTCTAAGGTCCGGTACGGCACCTTTTGTGTGTGTGTGTGCCAGCGTGTTGGGTTCCCCGAATCGTGACACATGGAGCCCTCATAACCGATCAGTCCTAGGGCGGGGCCTGACTGCTATGGTGGAAGGACGAATCTGAGGCAAACACCTTGATTATACTACAAAAAAAAACTATATGCATCCTTAACAAGTGTGTTTTGGAACTATTCCTGAGAAATTATAGCTCCTAGACCTACCTACCACACTACACAGTGGTCAACAACTCTTTGGGAGCTTCGTTATTCCACCCTGACACATGTGGCCTGGTGCGCACCGGGTGGGGGAGGCGGCCAATCCCCCAGCCCAGAGGTTCTCAGAAGAAATTCTGCTTGACCCAGTTCCCCGTTCCCCTTGCACTACTAGACTAGCTAAGTGCAGATATTTTCCAGGCTTCAGAGCCCTACAAACGTTAATACTGAGATAAAAATAGTGTCTCCAATTTACACTCGCAACTTACAAAGACATGTTTTGTAAAATCTATTCTGTAATTTTTGGGGGGCAAGCTCTAGCCTGGTTGACTGCTTATATTAGAGAGGTTGCCAGGACACTCCTGGCACCATAACCCCTGCAATGGACTGTAGTGGTTATGGTGCTTGGATCGCTCCTTTAAATAATTTAGCACAGGTGAAACCATTTAAAACCCACGTGAGAAACCCTTTAAAACCAGCTGCTTTTAATTACATATCTGCAATAAAAAGAATACAAAGACTGTAAATGTAATAACTGCAAATCTGTTATTCCAGTATTATCTGTATCAAAAATCATATTATTCAATCCATCTATATTTGTAGTTTATACTTTGCTTTCAGATATTTCTGTCTTTTAATTTGTAATACTTGTGCTTGGCTCCCGTCTCTCTGTACTATGCAGCCATATTGTACAAAATTTAATCTCGATCTTTCCTGCATCTTTTGAAAAAGAAAAATGTCCCTTTTACGTTTCTACAGACTCATTACCTTTTGTAATGTATGGGTTGTCTGTCGCTTCTGTTTTATGAGATTTTTTATCTCCTTCTTAATATCAGCTTTTCCAGTGATTTGTATCATTTATTTAATATTTTTCTTCGACATTAGCTCAACCTGCAGAAAGGAAGTGTATGTGTCAAAATGAATATCTTAGTGTACCCAGGAAAAATCTTATGCGTCTGTACTTAGATTTGCAAATTAATGTTCTATCACTTCATCTGACCACACAAAACAATGAAAGTTTGAATAAAATCCTATTTCAGTTCTTGTGGTTAACTTGTTTTCCGTGTTATATCCCTAATCTTCAGTCTTGAGATTCCCATCTGACTGATTTTAACACAGGTGTAAAGCAATGATAGACAACTCAATATTATTATTTAACTTGCTAAAACAGGATGGATAATGTTATTTGATTCTACAAAAAGAAAAAATAGCAAACTCAGAAAAATAGAATATAGGTACTGAATTATATGCTGCAGGTAAGAGCATTGTGAGAATGAAACATTTCCAGAGTTCTTAATGTGCCTACATTACTCACTATGAATGCAACTAACCATGTAAAAGGAATGTATCATGCATGTAAAGAGGTAATAAAGACAAGGAACAGCTTCCTTCTTTATAAAAAATAATTACGCACATCATATTACTGTTCACTCTTTGCCTATTCTTCTACCTCTTCATTCCACAAACTGTGTACCATGTGACAATTATGAGCTACTAAGTATACTAATTATACCACTTAGATGGAAAATGTAGTCGCCAAAACAACTTTAGCTTAATGAAGTAGTTTTTGTGTATAGATCATGCTTCTTTTTTGATCAATTGAGAAAGGCCAATGGCGAAACCGGTTGTGACTAATCAGAAGGACTTTTTAAATTTGCTTTTATTTTATTTTGTGTGGTATATTACAATAAATATTGTTTCTACCCTCAAACATAGAAACATAGAATGTGATGGAAGATAAGAACCATTCGGCCAATCTTGTCTATAGAAAAAAATTAGTGGTACAAAATGGCGCTGTAGTAGTTATTAAAGCAGTGCTGCTAAAAATCACTGTGAAATCAACCACATAATTCCACACAGTACATAGAATAGAAACCAAAAAAACTTAAGTGGATAGCGCTCTTACAACAAATATAAAATGTGACAACAGATATGTGCACAGTGTTAAGGAAAGTGTAGTTACAAAGGTATATACATACACTTTTTAAATAACTGTGTCCAGAGGTATTTCTAAAAGAGAAAAGACTCACATAGGGCAATACAATATGTATTTTGTTTGGTGCTGAAAACCATTATAGACCTGTCCACTTTGGACGGGTCCCATCACTTCCAGCAGTGCATGGCGCGTACTTTTGGTTTCATCTAGTGATCAGTCATTCCTCCTGTGCCCTCTTGCTCCACCCGGAAGAGCCTCCTAGGGTGTACCCAGTCATCCAGAAAATACATTCCGGCTGATATGCGGTCTCTCTTTCAAAATCCATATAAAATAATTTCGCATGTTTAAAAAGCCACCGGAAGTACTCTGGTGGCTATCTTGGATAAGGCATACCAAAATATATAGTATGGGCAGTATCTCTGCTTGGAGGTGCTGAATGTTCCCCATAGAAATGAATTAATTTAATTATCTCTATGAGGAGATGCTGACTGGCGCAGTGAGGCAAAATTGATTATCTCAGCCACAGAGCTAGGCAAGGCTAGCTGTGGCGACATCGGTGCGGTGTGTGAGAAAAAGTGAGTAAAACACCTTTCCTAAGAGATCTAAGGAGAGCTGGTACAGTTTGTATTCCTGACACTATAGTGTTCCTTTAAGTTTTGATGTGTGGTCTTCTTATAGGTCATTGTAGTATATGCCTAGTTCACCCATTGTACAGTGCTGAAGAATTTATTGGCGTTGTCTAGTTTGCACAAACTTCAGATAGCACTTTACCATTCTCAAAAAGTGTATTTCAATAGCTACTAATTTTTTACAGGAAACAAAAAAATAGGACTAAAAAAGAGTCCTAAGTGGAAGAGTAAGAGGAAAGAAGATGGGGGTCCCTACCTTTTAATAATCCTAAGGAAACACAGAACAGGACAGGTGGAAAAAGATGTGATAATAATGAACCATACAGAGTGGACCCTGGGAACCAATAAATAACTAAAGGGTCTACCCAGCGAATACCTAATCTCGAGGTTCAAATGCCACAAATTCTAAATTTCCAAGTAAAATATATTAAGGGGACAGTGCACACAGAAAAAAAATATGGGGGATATAACAACATATATCCGTATTGTGTTTAAAGGAACACTCAAATCACCATAGACACTTTAGCCAGCTGTAGTAGCTATGGTGTCTGGAGTGCATTGGCACCCCCTTAGAGTTATTTGAACTCTACGACAGTTATGGTGCTCGTAGTGTTCCTTTAAGGGAAGTTGGCACACAGAAACAACACTCTGCCAACCTGGGGAGAGCTTGTTCATCTGGTTCAGGAGGTGCAGCAGAAGATAGGTTAACCAAAGTGAGCAAGTACTTTCAGTGCACGTAACATACAGAACTCTCAATGCAAACAAATGTCCACACCTGGTATAGTAAATGGACTTTCTGAAATGTAATCACCCCATGCGAAAAAACCCTGCCTTGAATTTTCACATGTATTTATATTCATTAGCCTAAACAGTCAGTGATGCAATCTGGTTGTGTCCTGCTGCTTGAACCATGTTATTCCATGTTGTAATGTTGCCCCACACCTGATTCTGGGATACCCTATTACCAGCTTGAAAATATTTGGACAGTATTGTAAAGACAAATATCCCTATATAAGTAAGTTTATTAGCTATATTATATGACCTGCCGGAGGAATTAAAACGCAAAGGGACACTATAGGCACCAAACACTTTAGCTTAATGAAGCAGTTTTGGTGTACATGCCCATCCCGCATGTTAATGGCCTTTTAGACCCTACAGGAGCCCCCTGTATGTGATTAAAGTTAAATTCACAGAGCAGGAGATGAAACTGTCTAAAGTAAACTTTCATGCAGGCTGTGTGAGTCACAGCTAGGATAGGTGTGGCTATGACTGCATAAACAGAAATAAAAGGGATTTAACTCCTAAATGGCAGATAATTGAGCAGTAATACTGCAGGTGCATGATCTATACACAAAAACTGCTTCATTAGGCTAAAGTTGTTTTGGATATCTATTGTGTCCTTTTAAGAGGTGTGATCCTAGAACCTACTTAGCAATAACTAATCTTTACACGGACAAGGGGACCAGCATTTGGGGTAGTTTACATCTAGAGATGTTGAGGCAAGACAGTAATTATAATTATTCTACTTGTCGATGAAGACTGTACATGGTTAATTGACCATGTATACATGTGTGCTGAGGGGTTGGGAGGGTAAATGTGCGCTGTGTGCGCTTGCAGATTTAATCAGCTTCTGGATGCAAGATGCCCTTGCTGACAGTAGATATTTTTAGCGTCCATGCAGTCAGCGCTCCAATGTGGGGGTGCCCTGTCACAGAGGGCCCAGGAGATGGCCACCTCATGGCGCCCCCTAAGTCGTCCTTCAGTATGGCAGAGCAGACACCATCTTACCTTGATGGCAGGTGCCTGCTCTGTCAACAAATGCCGGTGACTGGAGGAGAGGGGGGAGGAGAAGGCAGGTAGCGATGGAGGTTGTTCTTGCAGCTTCCCACTCCTTCCTCGAGCGCCCTCTGTGATGCCGGGAGCCGGAATATGACATCATTCCGGCCCCGGCATACTAAACAGCGGGCAGGAGTGGACCGCAGGGAGGTAGGCCCTCAAAAAATCAAAATGTGTGAGTCTGTGTGTTAGTGAGTGTGTGTATGTATGTCAGTTAGTATCTGTGCGTGTGTCAGTGAGTGAGTGTATGTCTGTCAGTGAGTGTCTGTGTGTGTGTGTCTGTCTGTCAGTGAGTGTATGTCTGTCAGTGAGTGTATGTCTGTCAGTGAGTGTCTTTGTGTGTGTGTGTGTGTGTCTGTCAGTTAGTGAGCCTATGTCTGTCAGTAAGTTTCTGTCTGTCAGTGAGTGTATGTCTGTCAGTGAGTGTATGTCTGTCAGTGAGTGTCTGTGTGTGTGTGTGTGTGTGTGTCTGTCAGTTAGTGAGCCTATGTCTGTCAGTAAGTTTCTGTGTGTCAGTGAGTGTATGTGTATCAGTGAGTGAGTGTATGTCTGTCTGTCTGCCAGTGAGTGAGTTACACGAGGGGGCGGCAAAATGGATCTTTGCCTGGGGGTGGCAGAAATCTTTGCACCAGCCCTGATTGGGGTTAAGGTCACTTGCCTATTCAAAGAAGGATTGGAGTATGTGGTATTGGTTACTGATATTTTTAAGTCGTGAGTTAAATCTCTGGGGGGTTTTAAAGACCAGAGATTTTTTGGTTTTGAAATTTATTAAAGTTATTGTTACAATGTGTTTGTAAACTAAATAAAAGACAGTGTTTTATTGCACATATCTGTGTTGGTGTGTTTTATTATAGTTTATGTATAAGGTTTTATTGAATATTGCGATAGATTCTAACCCCTGCAGTGCACATGCCAAATACCTGACTGTGCAGTATCCTGTTACATGCACTTCTGAGAACTTGTTTTCATTTTATGATGTACCGGACACTACTGATTCTGGACATGGGGGTATGGTTGCTAATAGACTTGTTGCAAGGGGACTAATGTTTTAGTTGTTGGCAAACTTTAAGTGGTTTGACAGAAACAAGTGCGTTCCCTAGCACCCAATTTTTATTCCCCCTGCACCTGCTCTGGTAATGCTTGAGATTCACCTTGTCATTAGGCAGAGGTAAGCAGTGCCGAGGGAGAATTGACAGTGGAAAAAGGTAAGTAAAACTTACCTTTAAATGTTATTCATTTTTATTACACACGTAGGGTCGCTATAGCAATCAAAATGCAGCTTTGCATTTCTAACACTATAGTGTTCCCTTAAGCCTTCTAAACTAATAATTCAGACAAACCCAATTTTTTATGTGCAGTTTTATGTGCTTACAATTCTTAATGTAATAAATAGAACAGCAAATTCTTTACAATTGTAATTTACATTTGGTAGCAAAACCAGAAAAGAATATGGTATAAGTCTGCCATCTACTGATGTAGTGCTAAAGTAGATGATCTGTAAAATAGTTAATCTGAAATGCATTTAACCAGACGGATCTATGCTGTATCTATGCAAATACAAGACTGCCATCAAAACTCTTTGGGCTCCATTACAGATCGACTGGCTGGCTCCTTGACATGTGTTCCCACAGACAGATACACATTAACCCCTTAGTGACCAGACCGTTTTAAAATTTTCTTACCATCAAGGCTCTTTTTACATTTCTGCGGTGTTTGTGTTTAGCTGTAATTTTCCTAATACTCATTTACTGTACCCACACATTATATACCGTTTTTATCGCCATTAAATGATCTTTCTAAAGATACCATTATTTTCATCATATCATATAGTTTACTATAAAAAATTATAAAATATTATGACAAAATGTAAAAAAACACTTTTTCTAAATCTGACCCCCAAAATCTGTTACGCATCTACAACCGCCAAAAAACACCCAAGCAAAATAGTTTCTAAATTTTGTCCTGAGTTTAGAAATACCCAATGTTAATATGTTCTTAGATTTTTTGGGAAAGTTATAGGGCAGTAAGTACAAGTAGCACTTTGCTATTTCCAAACCATTTTTTTCAAAACTAACTCAATTTACATTGCAACACTGATATCTGTCAGGAATCCCTGAATAACCCTTCACATGTATATATTTTTTAAAAGAAGACAACCTAAGGTATTAAACTTGGGCTATTTTAACTCTTCATGCAACCATTTTACAACCAATCTATGCAAAATTTAAAAAAAATAAAAATAATAATTGTTGATTGTTTTGACACACATAGCAATTTAACCCCTTAACTCCGAGTGAGGGGAGACCCTTAAAGACGAGTGGCGGACCTCGTCCGTCACGCGGTAAAATTAACCCCAGATCGCCGCTATTGCGGCGATCACGGGGTTAATGGTGCTCCGTTATGCCTCTGTATTAGAGGCAGACCGGGAGCACCCGGTCAGGCTGCCCAGCACATGTGCTCGCTCTGACCGCAAGTCAGAGCGAGCACACGTGCTCTGTATACTTACCTTCCGCCTCCCTGCACTTCCTGGTTCTGTCTGAAGTGCAGGGAGCCGGAACAGTGCTGATCCTGCCCCCTGCTGGAAAAAAATAAAGTTAGTTTAAAGTCCCACCCCCCCTTTACCCATTGTAATAAAAAATTAACCCCTTCCCTGCCAATTGATCACTGACTACAGTGATCAATTGGCAGGGATTACATTTTACAATGATCTGATTTTTTTTTAACCCAGCTAGCTAAATATATAATTTTAAAATATTTTAATTAATTAAATAAATAAATTTAACCCCTGAGGGTTAAAAAAAAAAGAATTAACCATCAGGGGTTAAATTTATTTAATTAATTAATTAAAATATTTTTAAATTATATATTTAGCTAGCTGTAGTGGGTGGAAGTTAGTGGGGAATTGGGGGGTTTGGCGTTAGGCTAACTAGGGGTTAATGTTAAAAAAGTTTTAAAATAAAGTTTAAAAAGTTAAAAATTAAGCTTAAGAAAAAGTTTTAATAACGTTTAAGTAAAAAATAAAAAAAAAACACAAAACTGCCTACAGTGATCAAATACAGATCACAGTATTATACTGTGATCTAATTTTTTTTAACCACTGAGGATTAACGTTTATTTATTTTTTAACCCTCAGGGGTTCAATTTATTTAATTAATTAATTTAAATATTTTATAACTATATATTTTGCTAGCTGGGGTGGGTGAGAGTTATGGGAAAATGGGGAATTTACTGTTAGTGCTGCTTACTGCTAGTTAGGGGTTAACGGTAAAAAAAAGCTTAGAAAAATGTTACATCTGTGAAAAAGTTTTAAGAAAGTTTAGGAAAGTTTAAAAAAAATTAATAAGCAAAACAAAAGTTTAAAAACTAGTTTTTAAAAGTAAAAAACTACATTTTAAAAACGCTCATTACCACTACACCTGGAACAAACTAAAGAAGAAATTATCCCACGCCAAGGTTCAAAATATGCCTTTTGAATTACCCCAGGGTGTATTCTTTAATAAATAGTATGTGTTTGTGGGGAAGTTTCAATAACCAACCGTGTAAACTACTCCAAATTGGAACATGGACACAGCGTAAAACTTCAAAGTTAGAAAAAAACTGAATGGCTGCGTCTCAAATGCGCCGCTTCAACATCCACATATGCCTGGCAAAGGTACATACAGGGGTATTGCTGTACTCAACCGACATAGCTGAGCAACATATGAAGTATTATACAGTCATAGCAAACATAAGGTTTGCAAAATATACTGCGCAAACTCACTTTGTATGTCAAAAAGGCAGAAAAAATGCTTATTACCACTACACTTGGTACAAGCTAGCGGAAAAATGATCCCACGCTAAGATTCAAAATATGCCTTTTTACCCTGGGATGTCTTCTTTAAGAAATGGTAGGCCTTTGTGGGGTAGTTTGAATTTAAACCCTGCTAAGATGCTTGGAAATTGCACATAGGCCCAGCGTCAAAATTCAAAGTTCGGTAAAAACGGATATGGCTTGGTCTCCTATATGGCACTGTAGCTTCACGAAATAGTGCCAAAGACATTCATTGGGGTGTCTTTTTACTCAGAAGACTTAGCTGAGCATAATTTGGGAGGTTTGAACTTAGTGGCACATATGAAATATACAAAACGCCCAGCAAAAATGCAATCCATATGTAAAAAATGCACAAAATTATTTTTTACCACATACTTTGGCATATATTGGTGAAAAAATGGGGGTATGTTAAGGCACAATATGCACCTTATGAGATACCCTGGAGTGTCTTCTTTTACAAATGGTAGGCCTTTGTGGGGGTTTTTTGAACAGTCAAACTGTTATAATACCCCAAATGGAAGCTAAGGCTCATTAAATCCATCTCTCAAAATTCTACTGTGAATACTGAAAAGGACAGGTCTCCTATATGGCACTGTAGCTTCACAAAATAGTGCCAAAGACATACAATGGGGGTGTCCTTTTACTCAGAAGACTTAGCTGAGCATAATTTGGGGGGTTTGAACTTAGTGGCACATATGAAATATACAAAATGCCCAGCAAAAATGCAATCCGTATGTAAAAAATGCACAAAATTATTTTTTACCACATACTTTGGCATATATTGATGAAAAAAATGGGGGCATGTTAAGGCACAATATGCACCTTATG